TCAATAATGTACTAGTTCATATCCATAGTGAAAACAACCCGAGCACACTCCGTTACCTCATCGCATTTGAAAATGTCTATAGCAGTAGTAGTCGAAACGTCAGGCATAAACACCTGCAGATGACGGCCAACAAACACGGATACTAGTTTCGACATAGTTATCTATGAAGGTGGAAGTTCACACTTCATTATTATTGAGATATCAATTAACATTGTGAACATTCGAACATAAACTAGTGTAACAGGGATAATTTGTGTGGCTTCTGGTTGATAGTGAAGGTTTATCAGGATGCTTCAGTTTATTTACGATTGTCGGTAACAACTCTCAAAACTGAAAATTTACTACTTCCAGTATTTGCCTTGCAATATTCAACTAATAAATTTTATTCTAAAGGTCTGTTAGCTTGGTTCGCCGAAATTCTAATTATTCGAAATTCACAGAAAGATATTGAAAAAAAAACGAAAGGTCAAATAAAAAGAAAAACAAAAAAAAATCTTCGTCGTCAATGCTGAATTTTAAACAATTATTTCGCAGACGGTCACTAGAACCATACCATAAATAGCTCAGGATACTTCAATATGCTACACTAAAGTGAGATTTGAATTATGATATTTATCGGTTGTTGGCAGATTCTGATAAACTATTAATATTTCAGGAATAGTTTATCTGTTTTCTCCGTCAAAAGAACTAGACCCCTTTACAGATTTTGAACAGACAGACTATTAGAAAAAAAATTGTAGCACCATCTCGTCGACGACTGAAGCAATTATTTTGCCTTTTTCACCAGAAAGTCCTGAAAATCATGCCTTTTCACATGGATTTTCTCTGACCTTGAACTATTTTCAGACTTCTAAACATCTATTTTCCTCAAACGATTCTTTTTTTTTCTATCAATATGAGTTTATGTAGTATTTACGTAGTTTCATCGATGAATTTTGATGGCTTTGTATATTCAATAAGATTCTGATCGAACATTCTTAGATTTATGATGTGTCGAATTTTTATTTTTGAAAAAAAAAACACGATTTTCAGGAAAATTTTGCTGATTTACAATAATATACGAAAAAAAGTATTTTTACAATTGTTAATTCACTGATAACTTCAGTTTTCGGAAAACAATTAATATTGGCCTTCTAATGTGGGGATCTTTCAAAGAAAGGGAGGAATCAATCAATTTAAAAAATTACCTTTATAGAAAAATGTGTAGATCATGCAATGAAGACACAAACTGAAAAAAAAATCCCTTTTGAACCAAGTAGTTCCATATAAATATTGAATTACACTAAAGAAAACTACTTTCGAAACAAATACATTTTTATGAACACTGAATTATACGAAATATCTATTTATGATATGAGTGTTAAAAATAACGTTTTATTTTGTGAGTGAAAAAGTTTGCGAAACGAGCGTAGCGAGTTGAGCAGTTTCACGAATAAAATAAAACTTACTTTTAACACCAATATCATACAACGTTTTTTGTACAACTGTCCTGTTTTCATAATAAACAACAAACTCCTCCCAACTTACACTGGAATCATAGTTATTCACACCGATCGCTCAAAAAACTAAGAAGGTACTGGATGTGCGTTCACTAGTCAAGGTTCGACTCACAGTTGGATATTACCGGCACAAACAAGTATTTTCACTGCCTAATCATACGCTATCCTACAAGCAACCTACTTTTGTAAATTCCATAATGAAATAAAATTTCTCATTTGTACGGACTCCTTAAGCTCACTACACGCACTAGAAAGATCATTCAATAAAGATCCACTAGTACAGACCATATTGGCATCCATACACTGGACGAATAGGAATGGAAAACACATCGAATTTGCATGGACTCCTAGTCACCAAGGAATCTCGAGTAATTAATCAGCAGATCAGGCAGCCAAACGAGCTACCGAAATACCTGATCTGTTTCAAAAAACCTGTTTCAAAATATATTTTTCCGTTAATCAGTTGTCGCCCCCATACGAAAGACAACTCTCAGGAGTTGAGAAACTTGTGCGAGCTAAGGACTAACGAGGTCTTACCCTTTAACGTGTGATTCCTAACACGGTGATGTTTGTAATAATATTCCTATTGGACCGGAAGACGTAAAACTTTATTTTAAACAACAGATTATGGATTTATGGCAAACTGATTGGGAGGAAACAGATGCAAAATTGAAAGAGGTTAAGCCAAAAATCACACCCTGGAGGCATTCTATTCCGAAGACACGAAGAGAACAAACTGTGATTATACGCTTGAGAATAGGTCATACCAACTTAACTAACATATTCATGCTCTCAGAAGAACAACAAACAATATGCCAACAATGTAGACAGAGGCTAACAGTGAAACATATCTTGCTAAATTGTGTCCAATATGATGAAGCTAGAAAACGATTTGAAATACCAAATTCTATGAAGGAATGTTTGAAAGATCATAATGAAAGTCTGGATAGAATTATAAAATTTATGAAAGGTANTGAAAGGTATTAGGCTATACGCAAAAGTTTGAACAAGAAAGCAAATGATAAACAAACTAATAGAAGGTCATGACCTCGTAGTCGACGCCTTTAAACCACAAAAAAATAGATGAATTTAAGGAAGATTAAAGAGTTTAATCTTCCTCTTGAAGATGATCACTTAGTGATCGAAACACGTGTCGAGGTGTTGAAAATAACGATTTGGTGTTGGGGAAAAAACTCCAGTAATAGTTATATCTTAGTACTTAATTTATTGCATGAATCTCAATCAATGTCAGATTCAGTATTCTCATTCCTTACACACAGGCAGATCATTTTGCCTCGAAAGATGTATTTTATTTGTTCACTGTTCATTTCTATATGTACATGTATTATGAATGCAGTGCCAGCCCAGTTAGTATAAACACGTTTGGGAAAATGCCATGGCTGAGTTTCTGAACCTCCCGGAACCAAAGGAATATACAGGTCACTGTTTCAGAAGGTCTTCTGCTTCTTCCCTAGCAAAATCAGGAGCAAATATAACGGATATTGAGAAGCACGGAGGATGGAAGTCTACAAGTGTAGGTGGGGGTTACAATTTCTTATAAGAAGGCTATTGCTGAAAAAATAATCCCAGTTTGCTCCAGCATTACACCATCGTCCTCTTCACTTCAAGAAATAAATGTTAATGTCCATGCAATTATTAACTCAGATAGTTTAAATGTATCACAAGGCTCTTTAACATCGCAAGCTATCGATATCAGCATGTTATTATTGTACTTTTCATATTAATGTTCATAACTATAATAATAATGTAATTAATGTATATCGTACATTTGTAACTTAATTTAATTGTATTTGTATCTATTGTTCATAATAAAATGTCCTTGAAGATGGAATAATAATGTTTTAGTTATTGCTATTTCGTCGAAAAAAATCGTGTTGAAATATTTTCAATACGCTATTTTGTAAACATCATCTTTCAATACGCTTGACAACCATTAAAAATGTCATTAAAAATAACAGTTGTACAAAAACGTCAGTTAAATCGACTCTGAACTCAAAATAACGCATCATATACAGAATAATGACAAGAGTTGTATCATTCACACACGTGTTAGAAATCATACGTTAAAAGGTAAGACCTCCTTAGTTCTTAGCTCGCACAAGTTTCTCAACTTCTGAGAGTTGTCGTTCGTATGGGGGCGACAGTTGATTAACGGAAAAACAGATTTTAAACAGACAGAACAGATTTCATTGTAGTTGGAAATATAAGTCATACTATTGACAACCATTAAAAATGTAATTTTCAATCACAGTTGTACAAAAAACACTTTTCTTTAAGCCATTTGTATTTCAAACATTCGTATGTGATCGAATCAGATATCATTCACAGGATTCCTACACAATATAATTAATGAAAGAAGTGAAATTTACATCGAATACTATCATCCCCACTGCTGGACATCCGATGTTTAGTCGTAAGACACTTGCCTTACCGGCTCTTTCGTAGCAAATTCAGATAACATTATGGAAAAAAACACTGAATTTGTTCATAATTGAAACTTTTTGTCACGAAATGGGTTGAATCCACTCATGTCATCGATGACAGTCTTAGGAATCACACGTTAAAAGGTAAGACCTCGTTAGTCCTGAGCTCGCACATGTTTCTCAACTTCTGAGAGTTGTCGTTCGTATGGAGGCGACAGCTAATTAACGGAAAAATAGATTTTTTAAACAGTATGAATTAAGTATCAAGATGGAGAAGTAGAAGGCCAAAAAGTTTCTCTCCCAAAAAATAATGCTTTCTATTATTCAAAAGAGTTTTTGATATTTCTGAGCACAAATATATGTTTTCTAAAGAAGTTAGATGACATGCGCCTAATTTCTTTGTACATCTTGGAGACTTCACTCTATAAACTCAAACCGCTTCAATATTATTCGGTGAGACCTTTGAAATGGATACTTAAAAAGTTTAAAGTCACGAACGGCTGGTATCAAGACGCTCGTTTTGATAAACCGACTTCAGAGGAAGTAAAATTATCTTGCAAATGACTGAATGCCAGTAATAATTTCTTGGCGTTTGTTTATTCGGCTTCAAATTTCTTGAGATGTATGAACTTAGTGGGTGGCATAGGAAAGAATCGTTCATTCACATGAAAGGAAAATTAATTTTTTGTTGGGAATACAGGTGATTCGGCGTCACCTGACACGGCCACTTCACAGCAAATGCGATAACATGAAAATAGTTAACTAACAAGAGATGTCTAAATATGTTTCTATAGGAATATCAAATTCATCTATTTTATTATGAAAACAGGACAGTTGTACAAAAAACTTTGTGTGATATTTGTTTCAATAGTAAGTTTCATTTTGTTCGTAAAATTTCTGAACTCGCTACGCTCATTTCACAAACGTTTTCACTCACAAAATAAAACCTTACTTTTAACACTCATATGATAAATAGCTATCTAATGAAGGTTACGGTTTGCAATATCATAAGGAGTTGAACATTTTAGAGTGAATAAATATAACGGATCTTACTCACTTGTTTTGGACCTCGGTTCCCGTGGACCATCGACAGTAACTTTAATTGCTTTATTGTAGGTGGCAACTTGAGGAGGACTACTCGAAACCATTATGGTTAAGGTGAAACTCTTTCCTGAAAATAAAGAAAAATAATATTGAGTATTTCCTTTGCTAAATGCTTCAATATAAGCTCCGGAAAAACCGAATATCAAAAATTCAAATATATTCCTTAATAGGTTGAGTCAAGTTATCCAAATATATCCAAATAGAACAACATTAGGTTAAGATACTTTTGGATCAAGTGAATATTTGTTTCTTAATATGTTTGAAAATAATAATCACTGGTATGCTCATTATGAAAGTTATATTACACATCAGTAAGAATATTTTTCAACTATTCACCAGCATTATTCCCCATTTGTTCTCGAAAAAACATCATTAGAATGATCTGACAATTTTTTCTGTAATAAATTGAATATTTCAATAACAACTAAAATATTTAAATCACCTCAACTGAACATGCCTTTCAAAAATAACTGGAAATTTTCCTTCGTTAATAAAATTATAATCGCTGACGCAAAATGAATTCAAAGTGAATATTTTTTTTATATACTACGGTTAGAGGAATAAAGGGACCAACTAAACAACCGGTCTGTATATTATAGCATACAGATTATATCAAAATGAGAACATGCAGCTTGTCAAATATGAGAAGAATTATGAGAATTTCTGCTCTCTGCTCTCTTTCTCTCTCTCTAGTACCGTACTAGCGAAAGAGAGAAAGCAGAAATTCTCAAGTCTCTTCCTAGATTCAACAAGATGTATTGAATATTTTGGGAAAGAATGTTTTTGGCTTTCTACTACTCCATCTGTATCATTGTATCAGATGGAGTAGTAAAAAGCCAAAAACTTTCTTTCCCAAAAAAAAACAATAATATGTTGAGAGCCGCCTAAGTATAGACCCTANNNAAAAATATAACCCCTTCAATTCATATGTATTGAATAATACTGTAACATAAACTTATGCATACTAAAACAAGGCTTTTGTGGATGGGAAGTTCATTTTAAAATTCTTATGATATGCTCTTGAGTTATATTGACAAATTCAACCACTCTTATATTCTTATCAATCATTTATAATAATTTATATGACGTTTTGAAAACCCAGACACTCCACTAACGTAATCTTTCCTATAAAACCCCCCACAAATATTATAACGCGATGCCTCTGTCATTCAACAAACCGAGGTTGGTGAGTCCACGGCCGATGGCATTCCATATCCAAGTGCTAAATTGCCAGGGGTTTGGCTAACCCGCAAAACCATACATGGGTCATAGTGTACCCCTTTGATTTTACCAAATTCACCATATCGAGGGATTTCGAATGCCAAGACTAGGATCTAATGAAAACCCGATACTGCCCGTAGACAAATATTGGGAATAGTTTCCAAGTCTGAGAGAGACTGAACTGAGATTAGTTTGCAATATTGGGTGCTAGAGTGGAAAAATTGTGGATGGTCACATTATGATCTAAGTTTTATAAGATGGAAGAATTTTTTCTGCATAATGAAGATACTGAATTATGGAAAATAGTTTTAATCAAAGCGAAGATGTTTCTCTTACCTAACAAAAAAAATTCCTAAACTAAGCTCATTTGTGAAAGAAATTGTTCATATATTAACGACGAAGTGAAAAAAAATATCACTCCTGAGAATAATTTCCTTTTCTAAAGTTGTTGTTTCCACGAAGGCAATATCCATGGAATCTTTTTGTTCTTTGGTTCATACAAAGGAAATGCCTTTTCAGTTCCGAAATCAATCAGACTTCATTCTTGATTTCGTATATTCTGTTATGTTGAGAGGGTACGTGATGTTTCTTTTCAATGAAGCCCGATGAGATGGTGCAGAATTTGTCCCTAACGATTAATGGAGGGCATGTTTTTTATTGGCTATGGTAGATTGTACTGAATACAACAATCAATCATTGAAGATGATATAATGATCGGCGCTGAAACGATAAAAATACTGTTAAGGTTGAAACTGTAGAGACAGTTAGTTTAGCGCTAGACACAGAAGTGATAGCACATGAAGTGAACCAGTGAAATAATTGAATATTGTGATTGAAGCAGCAGTGCTTCAAGTTCCATTTTGAGGTTGTTGAATAATGTTCTCCATTGTGAAATATTCCACATAATGAAGATTTGAAACAGACTCACCATTTATGTGGTGCCGAAAGGAAGAATAAGATGAACTAGAGACGTCGCCGAAACAACTAAAATGACAAAGAATGAAAAAGAAAGAACAAAAGGCATTTATAAAAATTCAGAGCAATAAGAAATAAAAATAAATTACAAAATGTAGGAACACGAAAGAAGAACGAAATATGAAGAAATCGAAAGACAAAACAATTTCGTTAACCAACTTTGCTATGGCCAACGATTATTCCATAAAGGAAGGTTCTAGGTCAAGTCAAAAAAGTTCGGGAAAATGGGGGAGGTCGAAAACAAGTTAGAAAATATCAATGAAGAGAACATGAAAGACATGGACAATTGATTTTATGAACAGATGTACAAACTGGGAGTCCAACTCAAGCAAGCCAACATCGCTACTCAACTAGTCTTTCTTGAATAGATTGGCTGAATAGAAGAAAGGATCAATATACTCGTTTTTGTTTGTTCTGTGATGAGAACAATTGGAGGACATTGGAAAGCATTCACATATCATGTTATGCATGTTGGAACTGGTTGTTCGGTTGACAGCCGCAGCGTTAATAACTCCGCTGAAGACTACAGAACAAAGATTATGGTAACATTTTTAGAGTTGTTAGACGCAGCATGAGAAATACTGAGAATTTTCAACAAAACAGACAAAATGAATATCGAAGGACCAACAAAGGAGCAGATATTGAAAAATTTATCAATTTAGCCTGTTTCCTAGTTTCAAAGAAATATTCGGATTAGATTTGGAGCATGAGCTTGCATTGAGTGTTCTGAAAACAACAAAATACAGTGAATTCTGAAGTAGGAGTGTACAGAGTGACTCAACAAGATTCCTTGCTATCAGAGAAAACAATTTTTCGAATTACCCAATTTTTTTCCGCATACAACATCACTATGATGATTTTGGGAATCTCAACTCTCGGAAACAATATATAGAGTGCTCGGTGAAATCGGTCAAGTTTCATTAATTTTCAAATACGGATTCTTTCAAAGTATCATTCTTCGAACTAGGCTGGAGTGAACGACAAACAGCATGTTTGTCATCGCCCCAACTGCCTGTCAAAGAGAAAACCAACCGCAGACCCGAAATTTACCCTATTCCTCGTAAAAGAAAAAAAAATTAATGAATTGAGTGGGCATACTTAGAGACTGGCTGTAAATCAAATTATCAAAAAATTCGTTCGGGCCGGTCTCAAATAACCTACACTGTAGGTTGAAGGCCTGACTACCCCCCTGACTAATACCAAATTATCGAAAATTATCGATTTTATGTTGATGATAGGCACCACCTTGCACTGACAATTGGCCAAACAGCCCGAAACCGGTCTGCAGGTGTATTTCAATAAGTGAAAATATATTGAGGCAGTTGTATCGCCAACAGCATATGCAGGAATAACTTCAGTGAAGAGTCCTGCACTGGCACTTGTCGGATATAATCCAATGCCCTTCGTGGTATCAGCCAGGGTAGTTGTTTTCTGATAGGTGTCAGTCCATTAACCTTAAGTGTAGGTAATTTGAGACTGGCCCGAACGAATCGTTCTTTTAGATAATTTGATTTATAGCTTGAAAACGGCAAAAATGTAGTTCCTAAAATGTCACCGTTCCTGTAATGCATTTTAGACGAGTGACATTTTCTGACAAAACGATAATAAGAAGTTTTCTATTTGTAGAAAACAATTTGAGACAATGTATATCAGTAGTGTGATTAGTAGTAGTGATTAGAAAAGACATTTTTATCGACTTGTCGCCCGCCACCCATGCTCACACACGCGGTAGTCCGTGCTTGGCACTATGATAGTGCGTGATCATTCTTTGAAACCCACAGACACTCATGCGGTACACCGGCTCTGTTATGTCTATCTGCCTGCCACCATCGACACGAAACATAGTGACACTAATCGAAGTATCGAACGTGACAAACACTCTTGTTTTTCTCTTATATTTCATGATGAATTTCACTGGAAAATGCCGTGTTGAGGAAAGCGTTGAACAAGTCCTTACTAAATTTATTCATTTCAGAAGTAGCTAGACAGCCAAGGCCTGATTAAGTGTCTTGAGCTTCCACAATACAAAAGATTCAATAACTTCCACTTAAAATTTTACTAAATATTCAAGTTTTTTTAATAAAGATTGAAAACTCTGAGCGCACAAAACCTTATTTCACAAGTATAAGTGAAATAAATATCAGGATAATAATAATATTAATGATAATAATAATGACAGACATAGACAAATGTGCAATGGTTCATCTCAAAAGAGGACGATGCGGGGACTACGGAAAGGATGCAAAGTTGCTGCAACAAATATGCTTGCCGTTCCAAACTTACTCTACTCGTTTGGAGTAGTAAAGTGGACTCGGGAGGAGCTGTATCAACTTGACGTAAAGACCCAAAAAATGATGCATCTCTATAGGAGTTTGCATCTCAAATCGTCCGTTTCATGATTGTACTTCCCCCGACAACAGGGAGGCCGTGGAATTTTGAGTTTCGAGTGTTTACATGACAGAATGGTACTGAATACAGCCTGTAAAGTCGTCAGGAGTTCGGACACCCTTCTCTGCATGGTCCGTGACCATGAGAGAGCAAGAACTGGAGCATTTCTCTTCAGAGCAGCTGCCCGAGCAGCTGATGAACTCGGTATAGTTTTCTATACTGAACGAGGTGACCACAACTCTGTCACCGAGTTGGAACCCGTTCAGCAAAAAGCTCATATAAAAGCCGCAGAGATCACCTCACTTCTGCGGAAACACGAGGATAAGCCGATGCATGGGGTCTTCTTCAATAAAATTGAAGACCTTGGCTTATCAAAGCGCCTGACGTTCGCTTTCCTCAGGTCGAGTGGGCTGAAGTCAGAAATTGGAGGGGTTCATCATGGCTTGCCAGGATGATGTCTTCAACACATTTGTCTACCGCAGT